AAAAAAAAAAAAAAAAAAAAAAAAAAATGGCCGCGAAAAGTCCTGACTTCTCGTTGTTTAAATTTGGGTCATTTCTCATCCAGAGAAAATATAAAGTCGACATGAATTTATCAAATACATTCTTTTCGTAACAAGTAATCCACTAAAATATCGCTGACGAGTTCCATGAACTTTGCCCACGCCCTCAGGGAATGTAATCTTAATTGCTATTTTGACAAAGTGCAATTAAATAGCAATTAATCAGCTGAATGTCGGCCAAGTGCGAAGGGTAAACAAAATCTTGTCATTTTGCTTGCTTCGTACAGTCAAGAAATTTAAGTGAAACAGCCTTATACGATTTTTTTAAGGCTGCCCGAAAACGGTATATTTATCAAAACTGATAAGTGCATTGTAGATAAAGGAGATCAAAATTAGTCTAATGTATGAAGTTTCCCGTTGCCATTATCGCCGAGCAATGTTTACCTAAACTATTCTGGCATTTGTCCGAGTTTCTGAACCATTCCAAAAAAAAAAAAAAAAATTCTCGTAGCACAATGGGAGCCAGACAAAAACATTCCTTCTCTTAAAGGTAACGAAAGAAATTAAGCTACGCCTTCACCACGCAAATAAAGCTTTCAGCGTAAGCCGAAACTAAATACGCAATCATTTTCGACTCAGTTATCGGAAGGCGCAGATAATGCCTCGTTTCCTCTCAGTAAAATACAGTCACGTCACTTTTATCTTTGTTTAAAAATTGTAGAACAATTTTGTGGACAGAGCAAAGCTGTGACTAACGTTATTACATTGCGGTAGCCCGCGAACTACGGTAAGAGCAGCGCAACGTACTTAAATGCCGTTAGTAACTCTTTGGTTTAGCCGCACTTTGAAATATTTTGCTTGCAGTTTAATTTAAGATCGACTTTATTGAGATACATTAATTAAAGCTTATGTTTAGGGATCAGTTAAACGCTGGTGACAAATGACTGTAAATATTTGTTTTTGAACGTCCTTGTCTCTTTATTAAATTGTCTTTTTGAACGTGTTCGCAGATTCATTCTCAATAAATTAAGAATCTCACTGTCATATGAATGGTTTATAAATTAAACCTTACGTAAAATCTTTACCGTAAGTCAGACCAAAACTGATGTTACTTCGAGATATATATATAACCTTATCAGTTCAGATTAAACAGCAACTTTGACACAGCCGCACAATGATCTGTGGTCCGAAAGTTGCCTCAGTATGCAATTGTCAATATTGATCCTCTTAGTCTACAGCACGAAATACTACTGAGCTAAAATCATCTGATGTGTTAAAATGATTGTCATACCTCACTCGAATGCTTGAATAAGAGAAATTGGTACTGCGTACAGCAAGACATCATGAGCCTGGTTTGTTTTACCTATTGTAGCTACCTATTCGAACCGTTTGATATCACTTATTTTTGCATTAAGATCTTAATTAATGGTTGAATTGAATTAAGTAAGAGTCATAAAATGGCCACTCGTTTCATGAAGGAGGCAAGGGAGATTTGGCTGGCATAATCTGTGCTGGTTGCAGTGGTAATGTGTGGTCAAAGCTGTCACTGTAGTGCCTAGTATCGTCACAGAAGTCTGTATAATTTGTTCTTTCGTGCATCAAGACATCACCCCTGGCTTATTATGTTTAACCTGGTTACCTTAGTGACATTGTAATAATATTATAACGAACTATGCATGTGGATTACTCCGTCGTAAAAAGAGGATTGAAACTGCTAAGTTCAAATTAATGCCTGTAAGGTTTATGCCGACTAGACTGAAGCAAAGGTGAATCTAGATTAATCTTATATGATTAGTCTTTTCTTCAAGAGGCTTTTAATATACTGTAAATGCGAGTAAGAATATTCTGTATGAATAAATTATTCTGTATGAGGCCTTTATGCTAACTGTGAGGGCAATATCTTGTGAAAAGTTATCACTTCAAGCAGTACCATTTATAAAGTTTGTATACCCTGCATGATTTGAACTGGTTGTTACATGCAGTACAACAGCATGAATGGTTCCACTGACCTTCCGCTCTGTTGCTTTCTTATATAAGCGGCAAAGTTCGCTTACATCACTCTAAAGGTCCGGCAAAAACGATCAATTAAAAAAGAGTTGTGGCCAAGTTTCAAGGTTTAAAGTAAATTAAGCAAGTATTAATAAATAATAGAAATTGGGATTGAAGGTATATGTATAATGCATATGTTGTATCAGAAAAGAAGGTCTAAGATCTGATATTTCAAGGCCAAATAAAGCATCAGTAAGTGTTAAATAGAAACATAAAGGGCTAATGATGTAAAGCAATGTACTTCTCGGAAGAAGAAAGGTATAAATCAGAAGTAAGTCGATATATCAATGGCCACTCGTGAACGTAAAAAGTTTCGTCATGACAAGGTTCGAATTATTGACGTCCCCGTGCTTTGCGAAAATGCACATCTTAAGGTGGCTCCCTATAGGTTACGATCGCACGCGCGCTGAGGACAAAAGTTCAAGTAATCTGCGCGCGCTCGAAGGAAAACGTTAGTGTTTTTCGATATATTATGACGTCAACATGAGCACAAAAAGCAAAACTGACAGTGAATTTTCTCGCGTTTCCTTCTGTGAAATTTCGTAAAATTTGGCAGACTGGTAGTACATTTCTTACTTTAGTCGGAGCTCATTTTTGAGGGAAATCTATAAGACCAGTTTTCTGGCAGGGGTAAAAGACACAAATTTGCAAAAATCGAAAAAACCTGCCTTAACAAACCCTACTTTTTTCGTGTTTAAAATTCGTATCCCGCAGGATGCGATGTGCTGTTAAAATTTTGGAAGATTTCAGCGAAGAAATTTCAAGAAAATCACAAATAAAGCCATAAAAAAGCAAAAAAAAAAAAAAACATTTGTTTGGGCATTTCTAATTCAAGACCAAGACCCACAATTTTAACAGAGATGATAGTAAAATACTATTTAATCATTGCTTATTACATGTAATAAGTTTGAAAGGACTGGGTGTAAAAACGAATGGAAAAACGGCATTCAAAACATAACACGCGCTCGTGCAATGCCATAAATGATTACCCTATGGAGCCACCTTAAGCATTTTGTTTTTGGCGACACGACGGGACCCGCGAAAGTTTCCCGCGTCCACTGCCGTTGCGGTCCTGGCCTTCCCGTCCTCGTGTCTTAAGGTCTCTAATAACGTGAAAATAACGATGCACAAAGAAAATAATGATATATTCCACTTACTTCGCGACAAGTCGACAACTGGGTGTCCCACGATACCTCATATTATATTATCAGTAGGTTTCAGCCGCATTTTCAATGATTAGTGTACGAAATCACTCTGAGACATCGCAACGGTAAAGCAGATTTCAACTCTCCGAAGCCCGCGTCAAAACATCTATCAACATTATTTGTCTTTTGTCTTATAAGCCGCCGTTTACAAGAAGTTTAACTATTTGCTGAGATCCTAACTGACCCAAAAGTCTGTTAGCAGCCTTTAAAATCTTCCTTTTAGTCGAGGATTCTCATCAAGAACTC